TTTTTGGTGCTATTGGTGTAATTATAATTACTTGTAATATAGGAATCATTGTAATTCTGGCCTGCATTATGTATAAAAGAAAACATAGAAGTAAGTATGAACATATTGTACGCATTGATTACATTACTAATTACTGTAGGTGTAAAGAAAAAGAAAGGTGGTGAATTGAATATTATTTTATTTATTTATTTATTTATTATTAATAAATATTGTAGAAATGATGACAATTACACAGAAGTCAGTTGAGATGAATTTAAATTTCATTTTACACATTAATACCTTATTTTAGTTGAGAAACACTAACAATCGTAAATTAACACACAAATTCCTATAATATATCATTAAATGCTATTTATAGCTACAACAAATTGGATTGGAGTCATCCAACTGCTGGAGGACAGTCTATTGAAAGTAAGAATGAATGTACATGTATTAGAGAGAAGTGCATGGTAGAAGAAGAATAGGTGGATGTATATGTTTATTGACAGTCCATCAAAGTAGAGCAATAACTCTCTCACTATTTACAAATAAAGCTATGCATTGTCTAGCATGAAAGACATCATTATGAAAGAGTAACATCAGTCATACTATATATTGTGTGCATCCAAATGAAAAACAGCACTACAGCAGACTATAATGTACATAAACAGACTATAAGGTTGGATATTGTTTGTAGGTCAGTACAGTGTCATTAGGAAAGGTGATCTCAATATAATGGAATATGAAGAAGTACCTCCACCAATACCTCCTCAATACAATTAAATGAAGTGACATGATAATAATATGTGCATTAATAATTATTAATAATAATGACAGATAAATGATAAATAAAATAAACAAAGTCTTATGTACTCTACAGTCAATAAAAATCAAGTAAGTTTGTTATTGTATTGGTCTATGCATGTTTACTCCTTATATAAGTAAGGCTAGATTGTTGACCTTAAGTGTAATATTATAAATACAATAATATATTAATTACAAGGTGAATGATGACAGACAAGGTCCTGTGTATTCCATAATTAATAAAAATCAAGTACCAGTAATTGAATGCATTCAAATGTCTGATGTTTGCTTAAGAGCTTTGGGACATCAAAAGTTTATACTAACTGTAGCTCATAATGATGATGCTATAAGAAGATTAATGTATTGCATGCTCTTTATAATTCAACTTGGGAATAATTTCATTGCTTTCTCAAGAAAGCATTCAAAAGCATTGATGTACAAAATAATGTGTAAATTAGGAATGAAAATTGGAAAATAGTGAAAGTGTCATAATGAAAACATTATAATTACACAATGTATATTGAAATGGTGTAAGGTTGAATCAGCTAATAAGGTCCTGCTTTATGCTGATGTAATGATAGCCCCTAAGGACAGTAGACCACAGTGTCCACCTACTAGTGTTCAACCAGTAACATATGCAGTAATATAACAGTAAGTATACCATAATGTAAATAAAAATGCATAATAGCTTAATGTATATCGATTTTTCTGTTTATAGTTAAATTTCTCTCTGGCTCTGCTCTCACATCAATTAACTTCTTTATAATAATGTATTTTATTATTTTTAATTTATTGTGTAGTATGTGTGGGTGTGTGTTTATTACACTTGCACTGTTGATATACTGTATCACTATTATTGTAACAATCAGTCAGCACTATACATTATCAGTGGTCATTAACTGCTAAACCAACTATATATTCCAGGAATTGTGCTTCCAGTTATTATGCAAATTCTAGGAATACTTAGTGCTTTGAGTTCTTGGAACAATGTCACTTGACTTAGGACATGGGCTCACTGCAGGACTGACAGTATAAGTATAAGGGAATTACGATTGGAAAGAATGAAACTGTCCAACCACTAATTTTTGAACTAGTAACATAACAGTAAGTATAATACATGTGTTTATGATAGTTTAATGTATTTTCTTTCTTTCTATTATTGGCATAACCAGTAGGCACATAGTAGCCAACTAAAATCAACTGCTAAGTCAATTTTTACAACATTTATAAAAAATAATACTTTATAAAATTGAGAGATTATCATTATAGTAGAACAAAATGGTGTATCATTTTTTAACAGAGAGCATCATGCTGAAGATTATATACGTCACTCCTAAGTGATAATATATTGTAGGTGTGTCACATGTGTTTTGATTGCAAGCAATAGAAGATGTTCTTTATTGTCTTGTCAAGCATTGTCTTTAGTGAGTTTCATTAGCTGTATCATTTTTAATTATAATTATTTAGTATCATCAGGTACATTGTTATCTTTCAACCAGTCCTCTCCATCATATGATATTGTATGTCCTGGAGATACACTAGTATTCACTTGTATTACTAGTGGAGGTGCTGTTGTATGGAGAATTGACAATGCAATTCGTATCATGAGCAGTACTTACAAAACTGATCAAATTAACAGCTTTGTATTGACAATTACTGATATTACTAATAATACAATAACAAGTACTGCTACCAATGAATCTGTTACATCAGAGCTCAATGGAACTATTATTGGCTGCTCTGGAGATGGAATATACTTTAAGACATTAACAGTACACATTGCAGGTAAGATACATCATGAACCATATGTATCATAATACTGTATCTATGTATAGGTGTACCAGTATCATTTATTAATATAAAACTAATACCAATTAATAACAATACAGTATTGATGAACTGGTACTATGAAAAGAATGATGAAGTACACTGTATTCAATATTATAATATTACAATAATCAGTGATGATAATATTAATGGACATATGATCAGTAATAAATCATCAGCAACTATTCCTTCTCTTATTATTGGTACTAATTATTCATTTATTATTATTCCTATTGATACTATTGGAAGAGAAGGACCTCCTTCATCATTAATACAGTATATATGGAATGGTAAGTACTATACACACACACACTCATTGTATTTCTTATAGTACCAGCTCAAGTTGTTAATATTAGTTGGGATCAGATATCAACTGATAGTATTACAATATGGTGGAATATCAATGAAGTATGTTCAAGTATTAATTCTAAATTATCATTATTGTTAATAGGATGTTACATTACATTATCCTCCAGTTCATTACATTGTTAAGGTACACAATATTACTATTACAACTGATACTAATGTAACTATTAATGGACTATATCCCAATAATGAATATACTGTATACATAAAACCAGCTAATGCCATTGGAGATGGACAGTTGATTAACATTACAGGTTTGTTTATTATAAACTGATGAGTATGTGTCTTTAAAAAATTTAGTCAACATAACTGATCAACAGTTCATTTCAACAACAACCATTTTAACTGGTTAGTATAGCATATAATATAATATAAAAATGTATACACAAATGCCTATACTCTAATATATACTTTCCATTGTACACTTTCATAGTTTCAGCTATTGAA